TTTAACGGGTGTTGCCAGGGACTGAACCTGGGACCTCCTGCGTGCCAAGGAGATGCTGTGCCCACTGAGCCACGGCCCCTTCTAAGATCGATCCCTCTCCCTGTCCTTAGAGGTGACCAACAGAACTGCAGCACGCACCTTGGTATGGGCCACAGTCGGTTGGGGTTCTCTGTATCCAAAGTGAACACATAAAGCTGCCTTATACCGAGTTGGAAAGTTAGACTTTTGGTCTGTTCAGGTCAATATCCTACAGTCAGGCATGGATCTCTCAAGCTCCATATGGTCTACTCTGACGGAAAGCAGGTCTCAGGGGGAGGTCTTTCACATCACCTGCTACCTGATTCTGGGGGTCGAACCTGGGACCTTCTGCATGCCAAGGAGATGCTGTGCCACTGAGCCATGGCCCCTTCCAAAATCGATCTCTCTCCCTGTCCTTAGATGTGAACACCAGAACTGCAGCACACATTTTGGAATGGGCCACAGTCGGTTGGGGTTTTCTGTATCCCACTCCAAATCAAACATATAAAGCTGCCTTATACCGAGCTGGAAAGTCAGATGTTTGGTCTGTTCAGGTCAATATCCTACAGTCAGGGCATGGATCTCTCACGCTCCATATGGTCTACTCTGATGGACAGCAGCTCTCCAGGGTCTCAGGTGCAGGTCTTTCACATCACCTGCTACCTGATTCTGGGGGTCGAACCTGGGACCTTCTGCATGCCCGACAGGAGCTCTATCACCGAAACTGCCTTCTACTGAGTTGGACTGTCATAGAATCATAGAATCGGAAGGAACCTCCAAGGTTGTCTAGTCCAACCCCCTGCACAATGCAGGAAATTCACAAATCCCTCCCCCCCCCTCACACACACTGGTGACCAGTGTCACCTCTAAGCTGAGTTAGTGTGAGCTAGCTCACAGCTTTTTAGCCTCCGGCTCACACATTTTTGTCTTAGCTCAGGAAGGATGGCTCCAGAGCAAACTAAGTTATTCAGTAGCCAATTCACTTGCTCACAACTTTAATGCCGGTAGCTCACAAAGTAGAATTTTTGCTCACAGGACTCCACAGCTTAGAGGGAACATTGCTGGTGACCAGTGTCCCCTCTAAGCTGAGTTAGTGTGAGCTAGCTCACAGCTTTTTAGCCTGCGGCTCACACATTTTTGTCTAGCTGAAGAAGGAGGGCAAGCTAATTTATGCAGTAGCCAAAATGCTGGCTCACAACTTTTAGTGCCAGTAGCTCACCAAGTAGAGTTTTTGCTCACAAGACTCCACAGCTTAGAGGGAGCATTGCCGGTGACCCCTGCTCCGTGCCCAAGACTCTGGACCAAAGCCCAAAGACTCAAAAATTGGGCAAAAATGCCCCTTGGCCCTCTTCAGGATGTGGTACAGAGCTTGGGTGCCTTCTTGGATGTGACTCTGTGCAGCATTCACCATACTCTTAAGCGCCCAGTGGATCGTTTAAATATGCACCCTCCTCGAACCAGAACTCATCGACAATCCCTTCCTCTACTTCAGATCTATTTAACTGCCATACTTTAGAGCAGGGCTTTTTTTGTAGAAAAAGGCCAGCAGAAACTCATTAGCTTAGCATATTGGGCCACCCCCCTGACAGAGCAGCTAATAAGCATATTAGGCCGCACCCCCATGTTACCAGAAGTGTGGCCATCCAGCCACACCCACCTTTTGCTTCTTATTCTGTTTACCTTGTTAGTTGTCAAAACCCAGGGCCTTTTTTTGTAGCAGGGACTCCTTTGCATGTTAGGCCACACACCCCTAATGTAGCCAATCCTAATGAGTTTCTGCTGTTGGGTGTGGTTTATTATGCTAATGAGTTCCTGGTGGGCGTGGCCAACTTGGGAGCCAGCCAGAACTCCGTTCCCGTGCGTTCCTGCCCAAAAAGAGCCCTGCTTTAGAGGCAACTATTTCTCCAGTGATGGCGAAATCCGCAAATGGGGGGGAGAGAGACATCAGGCCAACGAAATCACGCCGGCTCTCCCAGTTCGTGCAGCCATGGCAGGAAACAACCAAGGAAGACATTGGCAACAAGCATTGTGATTTCCTTTGGCCTTTATTTGCTTAAATACAGACGATTACACAAAGCGTGTTCTACATTTTGCAAAAAAAGCCCCAAAGTGCATTAGGTAAAGCCAAGAAAATGTGACCGTTCAAGAGAGAAACCATTATTGTTATTTTTACTTCGGACAACCGGCCAAATTCACAGCATGAGAATGGTGTTATTCAAGTTAACGTTTGATTTCCTTTGGCCTTTATTTGCTTAAATACAGACGGTTACACAAAGCGTGTTCTACATTTTGCAAAAAAAGCCCCAGAGTGCATTAGGTAAAGCCAAGAAAACGTGACCGTTCAAGAGAGAAACCATTATTATTTTTACTTTGGACAACCGGCCAAATTCACAGCATGAGAATGGTGTTATTCAAGTTAACGTTGCAGCAATTTTCTCCAAGAGTTAGAAAGCTAGAGTTGTGACCGAAGCAGAAAAGCTACAGAGGTACAGACCCCCAGCCCTGGGGATTGCAGGAACAGCAAAAGATGAAAGTGCTGAGGCCCACAGGAAAGCAACACTGCCTAGCGGCCACTTGACACAGGTGCCTCAGGCAGCAGATTTGGGGTGGGAGGGCAGCAACCTCCTGTCCCACTTGCTGTCTGCCACCCCAATGCCCACCTCCCACTGTTTTGACTACAGCCCCTGGAGGGCATCCCTTTTACCTCTTGCATTCTCCCAAGACTCTTTACATCAGCAGGACAGTTCCCCAAACTCTTGTGAGACTCACATCAGAACTCACCATGGCAACCAAAATGGTGGCGGAACTCTCCCGGGATTTGAGGAAGCCCCAGAGAATTTCCTGTGCTGTTCTTAAACACAGCTCAGGAAGGGACGATGTGAGGGTTCTTTCCAGTTTACCTCTTGCATTCTCCCAAGACTCTTTACATCAGCAGGACAGTCCCTCAGCAGGACAGTCACAAAACACCTTAAGAACATCAGAAGAGCCCTGCTTGATCGGACCAGGGGTCCATCTAGTCTAACACCCTGTCTCAAAGGCTGCGATCGCACACACTAAATAACCCACTTTCAATCCACCTTCTGACTAGATTTTGCCAGTTCGCACAGTAAAATCCAGCCGGAAATTGCACTGAAAGTGGATTATTTAGTGTGTGTGATCGCAGCCAAACACTGGCCAACGAGTTCTTGTGGTGGTCCAGCACCAGGGCATAGAGGCCAAGAACTTTCCTTGATGTTGACTCCCCGGCACTGGGATTCAGAGGTTTACTGCCCCTGAACATGGAGGTTCCCTTGTTGCTTGTAGCCACTGATAGACCTGCCCTCCTCGAGCTGCATTGGGTTTCTAGGGCCCACCACTTCCTGTGCAGAAGTCTACCAACCTGGGCATGCGGTTTCCATGCAAAGCTCGTGTCTGCTGGAAGCCAAGTCAGAAATGCTGTGACCCTCTTAGCAAAAAGCCAAGGCCCAGTGTTCAAAGCTACCGGATGCTGCAAGTTAAAGAACAAATATTTAGAGATGTCTGTCCACCAATGTTCTGAACCCTGGAAGGGAAGAAGCAAGGCAGCAAAAATTAAAACCTACCAATAGGTCCTTTTGCCCTGCACTGTGGTCAGTGTGCTGCAGTGAAGGTGCACAACTAGGATTTTGCAGTTAGCTTCTCAGGGCCCCTTTGCAGCCTCCCCCATACATTTTTCTAAATGGCTGGGAATCCTCTGGAGAGGATTCCAGTGCAAGAAAGGGGTTTAGCCAGCAGGGTAAGTTGAGAAACACCCACTACGCTTTTCGGATCCTGGGGAACAGTCTTCGAATCTAGCCAGTAAAATCACTGGGCTGCAATTCCTCCTTCATTTGATCTACAGAATTACAGAACACCAAAAGGGTACGTTGCTGCTAAGTATCAAATTTAAAGCGATGACACTTTGCTGTGGCGCTAGAAGCGTTCTTTGTGCAGTTAATGTGTTTATACTGGATAAACGATCCTATGAGATTCTGCTCAGTTATTGAATCTAACACAACACGTGGACTTAGAAACAACGATTAACATAAGTAAATAAATAAAGATTTCAGCCATCATACGGGTTGGTCAAACACTCGACGGCATGGAAGGATTTCAGACAATATACTCTCCTGCTTTGCATAAGAACATAAGAGAAGCCAGTGCTGGATCAGGTCAATGGCCCATCCAGTCCAACACTCTGTCACACAGGGGCCAAAAATACCAGGTGCCAT